CTAGTAGCGCTAGTAGTACTAGTAGTAGTAGTAGTAGTAGTGGTGGTGGTGGTGGTGGTGGTAGTAGTAGTAGTAGTAGTGGTGGTAGTGGGAGTAGGAGTAGGAGTAGGACCAGGAGATGAGCCTTAAAACACCAGAAAGAGCTTCGATGATTCCAAGGTGAGCTGGCCGGATGCGTCGCCAGCGGCTTCCCGCGCGCAGGGCAAAGACAAGCTTGAAGCAAGCACTGCCCGACCCAGCCGAGAGCGTGAGGTCGCCGCAGCATGTGCGGCTTTGTCTGAGAGCGTCGAGGCAGGTGACACCGCTTGGTTTGAGCGGGTCATCATTCAGCTGCGGAGCATTCTGCTGGAGAAGCAAAGTGAGGATGCCGCAACGCAGGCAGAGACCGGCCGGACGACGTTTCCCATCCGAGCGGATCCTCTAAAGCAAAAGCCTCCCATGACCTCCCTGCCTCCGAAGCCTTCCCTGGCTAGCGGAGTACCAAATCCGCCCATGTCCACGCCGAGCCAGCAAGCGGAAGCTCAGCCACCCTGGCTCGAAGCACTTCGGCTCTTGGAGACTGGGATCTTCAGAAGCTCTTTGCTAGGTCCTAGGTAGCATTAAGGAGACCCCTTTTTGGGGGACCCTTCCTAACCCTACTTAAGGCTGTCTTAAAAGGGACCCTATTTAGAGGGTCTATATCCCCAAGGGTCCCCCTAATCCCAACTCCTAGTCTTTATTTTCGGTTCACAGGCTTCCATAGGGGTGGTGTTAGACTTAAGGGTCTTTGCTTTGCGGACCGAAGTCTGGGTCGGTAAAAGTGAAACAGAAAAACTGCACAAAGAATACGGTGCTTCAGAGAGCACAGGCAAATGATGTAGGTCGTTGTACACGCAGTCTAAGGGTCTTTGCAAGATTTCATAGGTTAGATTTTTTATGGGATGAATGTAGAGGTCTGGAAAATTTGGAATAACATCCCCTTTTCGGCCCCCTATTGTTGTACCAATATAAGATATACCCTCTAAAGCCGACGCGAATCATTAAGGCATCTGTTCTGGGATTTAGAATTCTTTTTTGGGGGGTGGTCGTTTCATCTTCACTCCTTGAGCCTTGCGTCATGACTCGATGGATGCCATGGATTGAAGTTCCGTTCTGCAGACTCCGGAATACTCAACATCATATGCTGATAATAAGATTCCCGCAGGGTCCCTATGCCTATACTGAAACATACGCCAAAACGCTAGTCTTGTGAAGAAGTCAAGGCCCGCGTCTTGAACACTAAACTCATGAAACCCTACATCACGACAAAGGAAGAGGCGGCGAAGCCAAAAACCGATGCTGCGAGAGCTCCCGCAAAGGGATACTTCCCTGCTCGCGTGCAAGCGGAAGCCACGCTTTCTGGAGAGGACTTGCATCCTACAGAGCCCATTTGGGTTTGGGGATGTAGGGGATGTAGGGGCTTCGGGGTTTAGTTCAGGGTTTTAGGGTTAATGGGTTGAGGGTTTAGGGTTTAGGGGTTTGGGGATGTAGGGGTTTCGCGGTTTAGTTCAGGGTTTTGGGGTTTCGGGTTGAGGGTGCAACTATCTGGTTTAAGTCTGGTTTAGTCGAATACCCCCCCTCCCGTTCACTGGAAAGATAACGACGCGCATGCACGATGTACCCGCCAGAATGCTGCCCCGAATGAAGCCGTTTCGATCCAAAGGTAGGAGCCGTGGTATCCAAGATCATCCATAAGCGACCATCTTGGAACTATAGGCCCGAAAAGACCATCCACATCACATGTTGTAACAGCTGCAGTTGCTATGGACCCTTTGGCTGTAATAGGCTTTCGCGTCCCCAAAAGGAGAAGCTTCAAGCATACTTGGACTCCTTCGCCAACACGCAGGCGCAGGATTCGGGGCCTTCGATTTTGCAACAGAGTCTTGCGATTTTTTTTTTGGTTGGTGTTCGGTTTGCGGCCCGCAAGGCTTACGCTTAGGATGTTTAGATTCATCCGGGAGCCATGTATATTTCACGCTCGAAGTGGTGGCGCGCTAAAGCACAGAGCTACAAACTAGTTCTGCGAGTTTGCAGAGAGCACCGAGAGCAGCATGAGTAGGTCTGCAGTTTAGTGTGTGTTTCAGGACCGGCTTGAAACTAGGGCTCACCGGCGTATATCTTACGCATTGAACGCTCTGATTCTGGATTCTGGATCCCCGAGCTATGCTCACCCTCTGCACCTGAGCTTCGCCTGTGCCCAAACCCAACATGCAACAATGTTTGCCGAAACCCTAAACGCTAAATCTTAAACCCTATAAACCCTATAAGCCCTATAAACCCTAAACCCCTAAAACCCTAAACCCTAAACCTTAAACTAAAGACTGAACCCTAAACCCTAAGCCCTATAAACCCTATAAACCCTATAAGCCCTAAACCCTAAACCCTTTGAAGGACGAAGAGGAGGACCCGGCTTGGGCACGTGCCATTCGCATCCTGGAGGCAGTCCCCGTGGGTCAAGGACCCTAGCGCAGCACTCCAAAGCTTCAACGTCGAAACTTAGGGGTTTAGGGTTTAGGGTTTAGGTACCCTACTCCTGCAACCCTACACCCTAATGAAACCCTACAGCCTAACCCTAAACCCCTAAACCCCAAGCCCTAAACGCTCCTTATCATATGTATTTAAACCTTCATTCAGTCGTGAGAATCGCTCACTCCCGGGCCAATTTCGTTCGCGAGAATTGCTCACTTTTGAGCAGTTCTCGCGAATCTCCAGTGATTTTGCGGCGAAGATTTCATTCTGTTCGTGAGAATTGAGCAATCCTCACGAATCTCCAGTGATGTTTCGGCGAAAGCTTCCTTCCGTTCGTGAGAATTGCTCACTTTTGCGCAATTCTTGGCTGGTAGGATTTCGGATTTAGGGCTCAGGGCTGTGGGATGTTGTGGGCTGGCTTTAGGGTTTAGGGCACAGGTCTGTGGGCTGGCTTTATGGGTTTAGGATTTAGGGCAGCTAAACGTTTAATAAAAGTATAATGGTTTCCTAATGATGTGGGAATGATGGGTGGGTGGGATGATTTCCGGAAATGAACTCGACTAGAAGCTGCTCGATCCGGAGCTGCCGAACCCTGCACCCTAAACCCCTAAACCCCTAAACCACTAAACAACCATGCACCCTAAACCCTAAACCCCTAAACCCAAAAACCCTAAACACCAAAACCCGAAACCCTAAAAGTCTGAAGTCTTGGGGGATTTTTACCAAGAATCGGTTGGGCAAGCGGCTCTAGACTCGCACGGCTGGTTCGGATAAACTTTAGGGTTTAGGGTTTTAGGGTTTAGGGGTTTAGGGTTTAGGGCTTAGGGTGTAGGGTCAATCCTGCCTTCTGTGTGACCTCTAAGGTATCCCTTATGGTCCCTATCCACTTGTAGTGTTGCGTGATACACCCCGCAAACCCCAGTCTCATTGCTAAGGCAACAGTATTCCTGAAGCCTATCTGATGCCCTTGGCTTTCCCGAATCCTGGCTGGTCCTACTTTCCGAGTGTCTTGATACCTCGTTCCCGGATCCTCTAATTAATATCCCTACATTGCACAGAACATGCCTTAAACTTATGACAGGATCCCTAATATGATGTAAGGTTATATGCCTTAATTAAGGGATCTTGGAAGTTATGGGTTCCGAGCCTAAATGGCATAGCCCTGATCCCGATTCATCTCGTTCCAGGACAGCGCTTGCAAAAGGCACCCATGCAGCCTCCCGTACAGCCGCCCGTGCAGCCGCCCGCGCAGCCTCGCCCGGCCCCTCGGACGTTCCCTGCGGCTGGAGCTGGAGGACGCCATGTACATCTGTGGACCGCATACCCAAATCATGATCATGATCTTCGTGATGACGAAGGCGATGATGACAACTCTGATGATTGCGCTTTCGGTTGTGTCAAGTGTGATTACGTTTCGGCGGCAGGGTGTTAATTATGAGGGTTGCTCGGAAGCAGTGAACTCTCTGTAGCCCGTGATGTGTTTCTGAGTGCTGCGAGAGCAATCGAGCCGAGTCTCGGGTACGAGCTTGGTTTCTTCGTTCTCTAACAGAGTACCTTGGAACTTACAGTATGGGGGGGGTTCTTAGTATTAATGTTTGTGGTTGCCAACAAGTTTGTACTTCTGTTTCCTTGGGTCTTCGACAGAAGCTTGAGTTCTTTCCTGTGGTCGTGGCAGACAGAATGGAGAAGGCTAAGTCAAGATAGTCATGCTTAACTCAAAGCCTCTGAACACTGGATCAAGCTTAACCTCCAAACCCTCGACGCCAAGAATCCCGAAACCCCCCCAAACCCTGAACCTCTAGACTCTAAACCCTAAGCCCTTAGGGTTTAGGGTTTAGGGGTTTAGGGTTTAGGAGCCCTTGCGGGAACCCTCTAAACAACCCTTATCTCAGCGAGGAGAACTTGAGGATCCCGGCCGGTCCACACGATTTCAGTCGTACCAGAGGCCGCACGAATCGCCTGGTAATATACTATTAATTATTAATTACTATTATGATTATGATATATTATTTTCATGAGTAATACGATTAAGATGACTATTACTAATATGTGTATGAGTATGATTATCATTATTGTTTCTATTGTTGTTGTTATTATGAGTATTCTTACAGGCCTCCGCAGGGTTTTCATATGAGATTGTATACGGTTTTAAGGGCTTGAAAGGGTTTTGACTACTTAGAACAAGGCTCTGTCGGGCCATTGCAGGGTTTGGGTAAGAGATTTACAGGCTTTGTAGGGGCGATAATGGCTTGAAAGGGTTTGTAGGGCTCTGTTACGGGAGTATGTTATAGTATGAGTGCATGGGGATTCGGAGAGGGTACTATCACAGAAAAAGCAAAGTACATGCCCTTTCCTGGGTCCTTGTTGGATAGAATTTTACATTTCTTGTTACAATAAACCCCTAATAAGTTTGTTTACATGATCATTTTTGATATGGACCCAACAGGGAACCAGTTTCGAGGTGCGGGAGGATTGTTGAGTTAGGGTCTGCCGGGGTGTCGGGTTCAGAAGGGTTTGGAAGAGGCTAAGTCAGGGCCTCATAGGGCTTGGTGTTTTGTATGGGGCTTAGAGTTTTAGGGTTTAGGGTTTAGGGGCTTCGAGTTTTAGCGGCTTAGAGTTTGAGGGTTTTTGGGGTTTAGGGGTTTAGAGTTTTCGAGTCAGTATTAGCTATGAGTTCTTTTGATTGACTTGCGGTGTGAACTTATTCGTTCACATGTCGATTCCGAGGGCTTGGGATTGAGGGGGGTTTGAAAGTTCTACAGAAGAGCGTCCTAGTCTCCTCAAGAGGATTGGGGCTTAAAGCAAAATGTCTTAAAGGGCACAGTTTAGGGTTTAGTGTGCTGCTCGCTCGTTTCGGTTCGGGGTTCAGGTCTTTGGTTGTTAGTTCGCTGATCAGGCATGTGGGCAGTGCAGGCAGGTCTTCATCCAGCATGCTAACGAGCTTGAGAAAGCCATGATCTCTAAGAAGCTCCCTGGCAACCCTAGAAAGCATCTTTAAATCATGCAGCTTTTTCCCTAAACTTAAACCCTAAACCCTGAAACGTTAACCCTAAACTCTAAACTCTACGCTGCCGAGAGCGCCGCTGACCATTTGCACGGGCGCTCGAGGCTCCGACCGAGGCCCCCGACCGGGCCTCCCGTCACAACGGTGAGGGAGGGTAAAGCCTCCCGGAAAAGGATGAAGCCTCCCGGTATACGAGGTCTTTAGTGACGCCGCCTCGCTATTGACCTCTTTGACCCTAAAAAACCCTAAACCCCTAAACCGTAAACCCTAAACCCCTAAACGCCTGAACCCTAAACCCCTAAACCCTAAACCCCTAAACCCTAAACCCCCCTAAAACCCTTAAGCCCCTAAACCCTACACCCTAACAGAGCCGCTTAAGGGGCCCGAGCCCTGGACTCCTCCCAAAAACCCACCTGAAATCCTAAAGCCCCCTGTAGACCCTCAGCCCGAAACCCTACAGGCCCCAAACTCCGGGCCCCGAAGCCCTAAACCCTGCAAGCCTACCCCGAAATCCTAAACTTAGAAACCCCAAACCCTAAACCCGATCTGAATCCTAAACCCTAAGCCCTGTTGTCCCTAAACCTAAACCCTAAATAAACCCTATAACCTTATAAATCTGAATCCTAGACCCTAAACCCTGTCGCCAGGCTCTTGCAGGATGGTGCAGGGGCCGAGCCCGGCGCCTCCCTGCCGGTGCGCTTCGGGAGCCGTCGAAGTGAACCTGGGATGCAGTTCGATCTCGGTTTTAGGGCTTTAGGATTTTAGGGCTTTAGGGTTTCAGGGTTTAGGGTTTCAGGGTTTAGGGTTTCAGGGTTTAGGGCTTCAGGGTTGTAGGGTTAGGGATTTTGGGATTTAGGGTTTAGGGTTTCTCGACTTTGGGGGTTTAGGGCTTAGGGTTTCTCGGCTTTGGGACTTTGGGGGTTTGCGGCCCAGGGTTCAGAATCTTACAGCCCCAAACCCTAATAGGCCCCAAAGCCTGAATTCTCAACCCTGAACCCTACTTGGAGACTTAGTAAGTGGTTGATAAGTAGACTTATAAGTACCCTGAAAATGGGTCCTAATGGGGTTATGATACTTATAAGTCTATAAAATAACTACTTACTAAGTCCCCCGACCCTCCAAGTAGGCCCTAACAAACCGAACAATCCTGGTCCGAGGATGCAACCCCGAGCCAGCGGCCCCCTCCGGTACCGGAGAGTGGTGCTGGGACGAAGGCTGGGCTGAGACTTTCTGAGAGTCTAACAAAACGAGTATCGAACGTGATCAGAAAGTGTTAGTTACAAGAGCTGTGACAACCTAGCCCCCATGATGACACACAGCTCTTGAGAGGCGAATGCTGCCAGATCCACACCCGCGATGCCGTCAAGCAGCCCACCACGCTCTCCTGCTTCAGGCCGAAGAGTGACAGAATTAGAGAATTCGGTTGGGGGTTTCTCTTGAAGTGATGACAAAGCATAACAAGGATCTCAGGGTCGCGAGACCTCAAAGCCGCACACAGCAAAACCCACTCACGTCCTACCCTGGAGGCTTCAGCGCGAAGACCCTAGAAACCCCTGGGGCACCCAAAAAAAAAGGAAACTGTGTGAAGTCCCAGAGAGGCTCCGCCACGGCTCCTCACAGGGCGCCGCGAGAGGAGGCGGTAGGCACCGGGCGCGGCCATCTGGTCTCTGCGCTACCCTCCGCTGCCACGGAGGTGGGCGGTTGTGAAAAGTCTGCCTTATGTCCGCTTCGCATATGCTACAAGTGTTGGGTGCTGGGCATGGCAGTGCCTGGGGTGTAAAGGTGAAGGTAGTTTAAGCCCTATAACCTCTAAACCCCAAGCCGCAACCCTAAACCCTAAGCCCGAAGCCCTGCAAATCTTCAAAAGAAATGAGATCCCGAGCCTTCACTCTCTTATTTGAGCTATAGATCCTCAAGCACGACATCCCAATGTACGGGTCGGAATATTATTCTATTTAACCCTGGCTTAATCATTAAGGAACACAGACTTGTAGGCTCCAAGGCCATAGATAGCTAAAGACGAGAAGCTCACCCCAAAACCATACAGCCAGAACCCAATCCCTAAACCCTCAACCGTATCCCGAGGTGGAGGATGCCGATCTTCGGAAGGAGGCATGTTGGGGTTCCGAGGATTTTTTTTGCGAAAATTGGCATCGGGTGTACGGTTTAGGGATTTAAGGCCTTGTAGGGTTTAGGATTGAGGCTCTTTTTGTTTTTCGGCTTTTGCTTTTGGGTTTGGGACGCTGTGTCCTGGAGTTTGCTTGCCGGTTCGGGTGATTTTGGATCCTGGCCTTAGCTTTATTAATTGAATGTAACCTGGATAAACCCTAAACATTAAACCGTGATAGCTATCTGAGGTGCCCCGAACCAGCGAGTCGCCTTTGGAATGTGGCTTCCCGGATGCTTCAATTAAATGCCATACAAAGAACCTTAGGAATTGGTGGTGTTTAAATCATTTAAACACTGGTCTTCTTCCTCAGGTTCCTGATATTGTATGGCTATACTGTAATGTATCCAAAAACGATTCTACAACTATTACGGCCCCTATAGTAAGGCTTGGGATCCTCGGCTTGGTCCCCTGAACCATCCTGATCTTCAGATGTCCGGAGCGAGCTGGAGGCCAAACCAGCTGTCCTTCCCCCTTCGACTCACTGTCCTCCTTGGGATTCTAGGTTGCGGCTGTAGAAGCCTGGCCTAGGGTTTTGGGTTTTGGGTGTAGGGTTTAGGTTTCAGAGTGTAGGGTTAGGGTTCAGGGTTTTGGGGTTTCACGCACATCTGCTCGCGATCACATCCTTCTAAAATCCGTGGGTTGCAGAGATATGACCGCAGCAGCTCCTATGCTCAACGTGGGTTTGTTACATGTTTTGGCCCGTGATTTTTCCCTAAGGCCGTAGCCTTTGTTGGCTCGGCTTGGCTTGGCTGGGAGGGGGCTTTGAAGATGTTGCCCTCAACCACGAACTCTCGCGTCTGTCTGAAAAAGGCCACCCGAACCCTAAACCCCAACCCATCAATCCCCTAAAGCCCTAAACCCAAACCCTGACTCTAGGAACCCGTGTTTTGAAACTCTCGGAGGATTTCGTCTGGTCGGAACATGAGTTCAACGACGGGGAGAAGGAGAACCTTAGTAGCTGAGTGGGTACACTTTGCATTTTTTGGCTAATATGATCCCCACAGCGCTGAGAGTGCGCACGTTTTGGTGCTTATGAAGCCCTAAACCCTAAACCCTAAACTCAGCAACTAAGGAACCGTCGAGTGCTGAAGGAGTTCACCCGGGAGTTCAAGAAGATGGCGGAAGCCACACCCGATGGAGCCGCCCCGCTGTGAGGGTTTAGGGTTTAGGGGGGCCTTGAGGGTTGCAGGGTTTAGGGTTGTGGGGTTCAGAGGTCTTGGGGTTGGGAGTTTAAGAATTTGACTGATATGGCTCAGGGTTTATGGTTTAGGGCCTTAAAGTTTTGGGGCTGAGGGCTTAGTCGCTACCCTCGAAGACTGGAATTGTTTCATGCACCCTGACCCCCGACCCAAACCTAAAACCGTTGAAGCCCTAAACCCAATAAATACCAAAGCGCTTTCAAATCCGAACGTGCGCAAGTCCAAAATCCTAAACCCGACCCCTTTGTGCGAGCCCTAGACTCTAAATTCCCATATCCACCTGTTAACCCCCGTAAGGCTTAAGGCCGTCGGAACCTCAAGCCCTACTGTTGATGATATAAACCCTGCATTACCTTAAGGACCCTAAACCATGGGAATTATGGGATACTCCTTATTACTTATTATGGGTAATGCAGGATTTACACCATCAGCCCTAGTAGACCCCTAGTTTCCAAGCCGCAGAGCCCCTGCCCTAATATCCCCCAAGCCCTAATGCAGTTAAAAAGCGCTAAGCCCTGAAGCCATAAGCCCTCAACCCATACACGCGGAATCCGTTGAGCCTTGGAACCCCTGCCCCAAGCCTTCAACCCTAAAGCCCTGAAACCTTAAAGCGCTGATCCCTAAAACCTAAACCCCAAACCCTAAACCCTGAACCCTAAAACCTAAAACCTAAACCCTAAACCCCGAACCTTAAACCTGAAACCCTGAAACCCTGAAACCCTAAACCCTACCCTGAAACCCTGAAATCCTAAACCCTAAACCCTACCCTGAAACCCTGAAAACCTTAAACCCTGAAACCCTAAAAACCTTAAACCCTGAAACCCAGGTCCGGAATCCAAAGCTGTTGACCGCGGCTTTGGACCTGGCCTTGGCCTGCGTCAAATGCTACGAGCCTGGGCTTTTGGATCGGTTTGAGGGTTCTAAAAGTGTGAGAGGGTTTCTATAAGGGGTCAAGGGTTCCTGTAAGGGGGTTTAGTGTTTATGTCTTCGGCTTAAAGGTTAGGGGGTTTAGGGTTTCAAGGGTTTCAACGGTTTAGGGTTTAGGTTTTAGGGTTTAGGGTTTCAAGGGTTTAGGGTTTAGGGTTTCGGGGTTTAGGATTTTAGGGTTTAGGTTTTAGGGCTTTTGGATCGGTTTGAGGGATCTAAATTAAAAGTGTAAGAGGGTTTCTATAAGGGGGTTCAGGTGCTCGTTTAAAGGGGATCTATCAAGGGTTCCTATAAGGGGGTTTGGTGTTTAGGTCTTCGGCTTAAACTTTAGAGTTTAGGTTTTAGGGATTAGGGATTGGGTTTTAGGTTAAGAGTTTAGGGTTTATAGGGCTTAGTGTTTGGGTGTTAAAAGGCTGTATGACTAGACTATACAGAAGATTCCAAAGGTTTGCCAATAAGTATATTGCGAAGCTTGAAGGAAAACTGTTGCTGACTGTTCGAACCACTATATGTTGAGTTCGAAGACAATTTGGGTTTCGGGTTCAGAGTCGTTGTAGGAATTGCAAAATTTCAGGATTTAGGGTTCTAGGGCGAAGGAGTTTCATTTCAGGTTGCCGAGGTTTGCGTGTGGATTTTAGGCTCCTGAGATTTAGACTTCGCCTTAAGATCATCGTATTTCCGTCGCAGTGCAAAAGCCCAAAGTTGCATAGTGAAGCAGCTAGACTCACTTCTTGCGTTTACGGCTCTGAGGAGGGCCTAATCCGGAAAGTTGGTGAGGACCGGTAAAGTGATGGGCGAGCACTCAAAGCCTGCGCATTAGTCCTGTGTAGTTATGCTACAGGACCCAAAACTCTTCTGATCATTATAGTCATTATAGTCATAACAAAACCTCGTACAACTTTAAAGGCCGTACAAGCAACACATAAACCAGAGCAGACTCATCAGTAAGGGCCCTCTTCTTGTTGCGCGGGCCAAGGAGCTGGACAAGGCGGATGCCATCTACCGCCGTTCCTTCGGCCGGTCCTCCGAAGTTTCGGAGCGTTCAGGGTTTGGGAGGGTTTATAGGGTTTAGGCTAGGGCATCGGGCCCAGGGTGGTTCTCATGCGAGCCCGTGTGAAACACATCGGGTTACCAGGAACTGACGATCATGCCCGCACCCAAAAGCCCAAGGCCCTCTAACCCCTAAAACCCTGAACCCACAAAAACCTACAAAGGGATATCAGCATAAAGCCCAAGCAAGGCCCTCTAACCCCTAAAACCCTGAACCCGCAAAAACCTACAAAGGGAGTCAGCATAGCATAGTGTACCAAGCAGATCCATCATTTCTGTCCGATCCGATCCGTTGCTCTGTCCATCCGCAACCCGTTGAGAAGAGGCTTTCAGTTTCGGGGCTTTTAGGGGGTAGTTATTACCCTTTAAGGGTCCCTAAAAGTATGTTAAAAAATAGGGACCCTAAAGAGCATGCTTTTTTAGGGTTCCCTATTCTGATTTCCTTATATATAAGTCCCTAAAAAGGTAGGTTATTCAGGGTCCAGGTAGGCTTCTCGTTCAAGGGTTGTTACCTTGGAGGCTTGGTGGCATGGGCAGAATGCCGTCGCCTCGCAACCAGAGCAAACTTTCAAACTTAAAGTCTTCAAGAAACCCCGCAAGGCCTATAACGAATCGGCCGAGTAAAGTATCATGCCCCACTTGGGTCGTACATTGGGCTCGGAAACGAGAGTGAAAAGAGCGACCACTTGTTTTCGAGCTGTCAGAAAGAATCAGTGGCTTGTCTGGAACATGTTTCGCTCATTTCATCACTGCAAGGAACCCCGAACAAGTTGGAGCCAAGAAGGGGGCCTGCTGGCTACTCCGGTTGGTTGAGCTTTCCACGTCCTCGTCCTTTTATTGGGGCTCCAACGGATATTATGCGCGCAAGGATTATTGGGAAGAATACTCTTCAGGGTTCCTAGGAAAGCACCCCGGACCCCTGCTCCGCTTATTCAGGAGCCGAGTTTACTTGTCATATGCGGTGTTTCGTCCCTCACCCAAGGTGTTCTCGGGGAGTGCCGACGGCGCGGCATGCCGTGGGACGTGAAATGCTTGCAGGATTTGGCAACGTTGCGCTGTGACTAGGTCCATGTTGAGCAAGTATTTGTGGATTGTTTCTTTGACTAGTCAGTAGATGTTATACCCTAAACTATTGGGTCGCTAGCCCTGCCTTCCGAACCACTCATGAACCATGAGAGCTGATCCGCGGCTTCATGTCAACGGTTGAAATGCGCTGGTTGGACCAAGTCTCATGAAGCAGCGAGTTGTTTGCTCGCCAGTTGTTTGTTCTAGTGTCCAACAACAACAACAACAAGTAGTACTACTGCTGCTGCTGCTGCTGCTGCTACTACTACTACTACTACTACTACTACTACTACTGCTACTACTATTAGTACTACGACGACCACCACCACCACTACCACCGCTACTGTACCACTACTACCACTGCCACTACCACCACCCAACGACGACTGCTTTCACAGCTACCATCATTGCTGCTCACACGAGACTGGGAACCTCTAAGGCCCGAAGTTATCAGCTCTGCAACTCTTCCCGGACGGTTTACGGTTTAGGGTTTGGGGTCCCCCAAAGTATGCAGAACAACAGCCTTTTAGAGGTTTTGGGCCATTGTTTCACGTACTTTTGGGGGTTTAGGTGAAGACTTTCAATCATCCCCCATCAGAACCTCACGAAAATGAAGCCCAAAATCCTGAGCCCGGAATGCTCTGCACCCGGGGCCCCCAAATACCTCAAGACATCTCAAGACCCATCTCCTTCTGGGGCGGCTCTATGTCAGGTCTCCCTTTGAGGTAAAGTGTCAGGTATACAGTACATGCTATATACCCCCCCCCCCCCCCCCCC